ATTTGTGTGTGGTAGAAGTATTTGTGGTAGAAGTATTTGTACTCTGTATCGACAAGTACTCAGATCCAAGTATCGGTATCGTATCGGTTTGAAAAAGTTGGTATCATTGCATGCCCATCTACAGTACACGATGATTCAGCGCACCTGGAGAAATATTTGTGTGAGGGACTGAACCTCAATATTGGACGACCACGATCAGGCTGAACTGCATGATTCTGTAAAACAGTCGTGATTCGGTCCTGGAAATCACTGCATGGGCTCAGAAGCACTTCTGGAAGTCTGCAAACACAGTTCAAAGGTACAGGCAGGTTTTAGAGCAACATGTGCTCCCATCTACACACTTTATTTTTGAAGGATGGTTTTGCATATTTCAGCAAGACAACGTTAAATTGAAATTTGCATCTAACACAACAGCGTGGTGCTGACCTGCCTGCTAACCCAGAGAGGAGACCTGGTTGAGCATCTTTAATCCCACATCACCGTGGAGGAATCAGCATTACTGTCCTTGCTGGTCTCCTCAGCTCCCAGATGTTTGCAGACTGTGGTTAAAAGAAGAGGGGATGCTACACAGCAGTAAACATCTCCCCGGACCAACTTTCAAATTCAAAATGATCTTCTTTCTTAAAATGTTGATTTTCTCAATTCAAACCTTTGACGTGGTTTGTGGGATCTACCGGGGATAAAATCCGGGTTTGAGAGATTTTCAATCATTGCACACTTTTCTTTAAATTTACATTCCTCACAATTTCTTTGGCATTGAGTTTGTGTACAACTGTAAGCCCCGGGTCAGTCTGTCAGGTTGATTTATTGCAGCAGAATGCAGTTAAAGTCTGGTGTCTGTGCTCCAGCAGCCTCTCCCCACATGGAAATGAGCAAGTGATGAGCAAACATACAGACACGTCAGCGCGCATTCTGCAGGTTAAACAGACTGACAGCGAGTCTCACAGGGTTTCCTCCATTTCTGTGATACCAACACTATCGATTAACATTTTGCCAAGCAGCACAAAACTGAAGCCTTAATAACTAAACACTCACTCGTCGGGCCCTTTTTAATAAAGATTTTTCCTCCTAAAATATTTGAATCCTTTACGTTACAGATTAATATCTGCAACTCCAGCCAGAACTAATCTTTGCATTGAGCATTAAAGCACTATTTAAACACACACAGCACCGACAGATTCATGCTCTAGTTCTTGCTCTAGTTTACGCGCAGCCTCTCAGCTACATATCAGTCGAGGCGCTGCTGCAGTGCGAGCTGTCCT